CAATGCTTGGTAAGAAATGTACGCATTATCCTGCCCATGCAATTGTAACCCCTCTGTACAGTATGTTCACAAATAAAATAAAATAAAATTTAAAAAAAAAAGAAAAACAAATGAGAAGTTAAAACATTGTTCAAAGAAAGTCAATCATGTAACCAGACAAAGATATATTTACCTATCAACATATCTCTGTGTACTTAAAAGACTGAGGTAAATCTGGAGTTGAAATCTGGATGCTTTATGTTCTGACATTCATAGCCTTCCCTTTCCTTGAAGCAGACTCAATGAACTAAATGGGAATTCTAGGAAGTCAACACTCATTGTGAAAAGCTCAAATACCTCACCTGCTCTGTTTCACTGTCATGATGAACGCCACACCAACACAGAGTTTTGTATTTCTTAGACCAAAAGCAAAATAGATTGCAAACTGGTCTAATTAAAAGTGGGTTAATATCTTTGCCATTTTGCAGACCTATTGACAAAAGAAGAGATGATAGATTAGACCACAAAAAGTATCAGGACTTTCATTAAGAAATTAATCATTATTTACTTGAGAAGTAGGTTATTTCTTATGATGAGAGAAAAACTAAAACTAATCTCATACTTTAATAAATAGAACAGGGTTAACTGCAGAAAGAGGTGGAAACTAGTTTTCAGAAATCTACAAATTGTCTGATCAGGCAAGTTCAGCATTGCAGAAGTAAACAACATACATATTTAAACATATTTACCATGGAAAAAAAACTGGTATAATTTGTGGAGGGGAAGGGAAAAAGCAAATCATTTAAATAGGGTTACAGGTGGACCTATTGCAACAATGAGATGTACAAGTTGTTATGGCAAGCAGGAAAGTCTGTGAGCCTCTTATCTGCAATAAACCAACAGAGAACCAGAAGTGGCACTGTTGCTCAAGTGATAGGGCGCTAGACTTTAGATATTTATTCTATATACTCTATATTTATATTTTATTTATCTTTATTTATATTCTTTAGTCTTTAGATACTTAAATTAGACTTTTATAAATCTTCAATGAGCATTATAAAAGATTACTAAAAAGCTCCATACTTACAGGACCCTTAGTGACAGAACCTCATCTGGGAAGAGGTACCTACATAGTAGGACCATCTGCCTGCTAAATTCAATGCTTTCCTCAAAGGATTAGTGATATAATTTGCTGCTAACATGGTGCAATCACTTTATCACCTCTAATACTTGAAAATTTTGGAAGGAAAGAAAATACAGGAATTGACACCAGGGTAGTCATCCATCCTCAAGATGGTAAAGGATATTTCCAACCTGGTGTCACATAAGGGCTACTGAGGTAAAATTCACACCAGAACATGTCAATTCTGATACACATCTGGAAAAATGCATAGACTTGCAAGCCTTGAGATAAATATGTACCTAAATCCTGCTTGGCATGTAAGCAGTTTGACTTCTTGTCTGGTCTGTTTACTGGAAAAAGACACAGCCTTTTATCTGAAAGTATTTATATAAATAAAGATATGTGAGGAATCATTGCTATCAAGCTGAGAAATAATACAACCAGCATGGTAATGGCACAGTGGTGTTATAAATTTTATATTCTATTTCCTCTCATTCCCATGATTTTCTTAAATAAATTTAAGTGAGCATTTAGCAGCCCTGCCTAGAATATTAAGGCATTGGAACTTGCATATAGCAGTTCCTCTCCACCATTAGCATAAAAGCTGCCATTCTGACTTTGTGTTGAGTACAAATGCTAACTGCCCATGACTTTATGGACATTTAATGGTGGTAAAGAAGTAGAATTTCTAAATAATTTATTTAGTTACAATATTTATTCCAAAAAGTTAGAGACAAAGTGCTTGGGCCTATTCCATCCCACCAGCACTATGACTGATCCTTCTAATCCCGCATGGATTTGGGGACAGGAAAGAAAACAGACTCTAGTGATGAGACTATGACACAAAGTATAGATGTTAAACACCAGTACCAAAGATGGCAGAGAGCCCAGCAGGCTTCAAAAGACAAAGGAGGGAAAAGTAACAGCAAGACGCTTCTCTGCTTGTGAAGCAAGTTAGCCCAGGCAGATTCACTGAGATAGACGGTGAAGGGAACCTTCATATCTTACTGACATGAAAAGAAATGGATG